AGGCTTCTGGGTCGGTGACTAGGACTCAGAAATAGCCCCCTAATCGGCCTCATCAGCTTTGAAGGAGGCCACCGCAGGAGGGGGCCTAAGTAGGCCAACACTTTAACCCAGTTACATGAGGGCAGCTGTAATCCAGGCTGATCATGTCTTGCTAAGCTCTCTAGGGGGAAAATGTCCAAAAGTTGCTTCTTGTGTGCAAGTGTTCCTGGATCACACTGTAGACACTCCTTTTCCCTTCTGGAAGAGTGTGGCTTAAAGGTTATAAAGGCTGAGCTCCATTTGAATGTCTTCCAGGACTAAATGGTGGCTGGTAGTGGTTTCCAACTACACTTAAATATTATGGCTCAGGCTACCCTAGGCAAAAGTACTGCATTTCCTTGAAAGATCTGCTAATCCTCCTCCACCTTGTTAAAGGAGGAGAGGAAATCATTATCTTCCTCTTTGTGGGCCAAAGAACAACTCATATCAAGCCACCAGTTTCTAGATAGGCTGGGCTCTGTTTCTCCTGTCCCCATAATCCCATAGGCTCACCTCACTCCTGGCAATGAAAAGCCCTAACAGATCCAGGGGAAGCAGACTGAGCTGTCTGGGCAGCCCGTAGTTAGGAAATAAAAAATCAGAGTCGTTGGGGCTGACTTGGCCTGGCTTGTGTGGCTCCCTCCCTGTCATTTGGCATGGTGGGCTTCCTTATGCATACGCACTCTGCTCCCTCCCTTTCATGTCCCACAAAGCATCTGATCCAAGAGGCAATTCAAGAAATCTATTATTTGCTACACTGTTGAAAGAGAAAACAGTTTCTGGTTATTTGTAAGATATGTTGCAATTTTAGAAATGTTAAAATACAAAAAAATAGTGTATATCTTAGAGCCAATGAGATAGAGAAAAAAATCCTTAAAATGGATAGATCATCTCTCTTACACACACACACACACACACACACACACACACACACACACACTGAAGACCACAATGACATAGGGCACCTTATGGCACAGTGGGGGAATGCATTCTAAACTCCAGGTAACCTCTGTGCTCTGAGAACCAGCTTGGTGAGCATACTGCCTGAAAATAGGGACTCCTTACACTAGACAGATGTTATAGGTCATAAAGCCCTCCCACACACGGTTACCTCACTAGGTTCCTCTCAGCTGCCCTGTGGTGTAGGCAGGCTAAGGGCACTTATTACCTACTTTATAGATGGAGTTCAGACAGGTCTGACTTTGCCAGAATCACTGGGACTGAGGACAAGAAAAGTGGGACAGAAGGTCATGTTTGTAGAGTATCTAAACTGCTTGTCTGACTTCCACAGAATGGCCACTACAACTAGTGAGGGTATGAATAAGTGGCTTTAAAACCCTTTTCCTGATGAAATTATTCACAAAACCTCACTGTACAAAACAGGATAAGATTGGAGTTGTTCTATGTGAGGCAGAGGGAAAGGCCAAAAGGCCACCTATTTGGCCTCCACCCATCTTTCATCCCTAATGGGGGCCTCAAAGGTACTTCTGAAGAAGCACTGAAGTGCTGAGGAACAATTTATAACTATAGAGTAAGGGACTTCAGTTGTATTGGTCATATCCTTTTTCTTATGCTAGATTTAGATATTATTCTTCATACTTTTTGTTGTTTTAAAGGATTCATTTTAGAAAAAGACTGGTATAGATGGTCAGGCTAAAGAGGTGACTCAGAACTTTGACGTTTAAGAAGCAAAATAAAAAGGTTTGCTTTGAATTACGAGTTTGGGCATTCATATTTTAAAGATCCCCAGGTGACTAATTTGTAACAAAATTTATGATTCACCGTACCAGAGGTATCTTGTCCTGTACAATGGTATTCAGCATGCCTGAAATGCAAGGACATGATTTGGAATATTTGGGGAGGCTTCTCCCCTCAAAAGGCAAAATGTTAGAGAGCTTGGAGTCTTTCTAAATATGTAGTATCAAAGAGTATGGTGCTTCTGGATATGAGGGAAGAAGGAGCTGACGTCAGAACAGAAGCAGACTGGTGCCCCTTCTACAAGCCCCTGGGATGGAGACAAGAGGGCAAGAGCCAGCAGTAAAACTTGCTGGTGGCTGGGACTGGGTCACTGGACAGTAGAAATCACTGACTCAGTTAAGTGAGTTAACAGATAGTGGTTAAGATCTGTGCAGAAAATGACTTCTCCCATCACTGAAACCTGCCTTACGACATGCCAAGAGTGCTGGATTACTGGATGGATGGTATGCAGGCATAGTAGAATTGAAGTCACGAAGCCAGTCATGGGAGGTACTCATTAGCAACAGGAGCACAATCTTGGAAGGCCTGGAAATCTGTGCCCAGCAGCTCAGACATCTGAGGTATATGATCACGGTGCTAGGCAAAATGCTGAATGGGAAACAGTCAGTGCAGATAGTAACAGAGATTTTGACTTTGGATGAGGCCAGCCTTGCCTGTTGCCATGGTTCCCAAACCATATAACCTTTGGATAAACCATTGCATATGCCAGTCTGACATCCATGTTTTATGGTTGCTTCACTGACCTTGGCAAAAATGAAAAAGAAAGACTCACTGGGGGATCAGGGTATAACCATCTCAAGTTGGTCCCTATCCCGCAGAGGGGTAGATGATATATTCCATGGATTGGCTGGTGGGGCTTTGCCATAGAAATGCCAACTTTGTGTACCCTATTGAAGGAAAGGGATGTGCACAGGTAGCAAAATCAGGTTAGGAAAAGCTGTTGGTCACCCTGCTCACCTACACTGGCCAAAGGTCTGGGGACAGATCAGGTGCAACACATTCCTGTTGCTCTTCCCTCACAATATCACCTCCTTGTTCAGTACAGCTCTTACCCAGAGCCCTACAGGGAAGCAGGGTGGGGCTTTTTTTGAGGAGCTAGAGGTTCTCAGGCAAATAACAGCATCCTCGTTTTGTCCCAAAGTACTCATGAGAAAGATGGTGGCTTATGTCACCAAGGGTTCTCTCTCAGGGAACAATAGTATCTCAAACCATTTCTCAGCAGTTAGGGATGAGATCCTTGTTTATGGAGTACCTTCAGGGTGGAGGGTGCTAGGGATTGAATGCAGGACTTCATGCATACTAAACATACTGAGCCGCATCATCAGCCCCTAACCTGAGTACCTTCTGTGGAATGAGATGGCAGGGCTGGCGGAAGAGTCAAATCTCACCCTTTCCTCAAAGAGGCAAAGTCTAATAGGGAGAAAGGCAAGTGATGAACCCAGTAGGTAAGCAAACAGTCCCTGGAGTAAGCACCAGGTGCTGTAGGAGCAAAGCGGACAAGCATCTAGTGCATTCTTGGGAGGCAGGAAGGATTGCACAGAGGGGCTAACATTGGAACTGGGGCTATAGGATAAAGGGGGAGAGTAAGGAGCTGAGCAAAGGAAAGGGAGCAGGAAATGGCATGGTGCGGAGCAAAGGGAATCCATGCATGGTTCTTCTGAGATTATGAGGGTGAGGTGATGAAGATGAAAATGTTTGCAGGGCCCAAGACCTGAATGTCACACTAAGGAACTGCTAGGGACAGAGGCCCAGGGTAGTGATGCAGTCAGACTGTATTTGAAGGTTGTTGCCTGCACATTGGAAAAGAGCCTGGAATCGAGATAGGTTGCAGAGACAGATGCACTAGCCCAGAGGAGGGATGGTGATGGCTTCAGTAGCTGGCCTTTGGTTCTCTTCTTAAAAGATGTAAAAAGGCCTAAGACTAATTTTCCTTTCTCTCCACTAGCCTCTGTCTGCCCCTCCACTGGAGCTCTTGCCTGGCCCCTTGTGTCCAGGCACTTGAGTCCTACACCTTATAGTGCCGCTTTGATGCTGGCTGGACAGCCAAACGAAAGAGCAGCTTGACCTCTGAATTGCAAAGTCATGGATCTCTGTCTCTTGTCTCTTGTCATGCTTCTCAGAGCTGGGGGTCTCAGGGCAATGCTCTCCCCTGACGCTTCGGCACAGCAAAGAGGCAGTAGAACCTGGAGGAGAAAGAAAGCATATGGGCCTTGGAGTCTAACATAACAAGTTTTGAAGGATTTGAAACCAGCCTTCTTGTATTAGCAAGCCTCACATTACTGAGTTTCTTGCTGTCAAACAGTGGCAGCACTGCCAGTCAGCTAATGGAGCATCTGTGGGAGCTATCAGAGGTAACCCGTGGAGCAGGACACAGCACTGTGCCTGGAACACAGTTGTTGCTATTACTCTACAGATGGAGAACCTGGGGCAGCAGGAAAAGAAGAACTTTCCCAAGCTGGTAGTTTTCTATTCCAGGACTGCAAGGCCCTGCCTCACTTGAAGTATGGATGTCCAAGTCCTGGCAAATGTGGAGATCTGTCTGGACTGCCTGCATCTCTGGCTGTGCCCTTTGCAAAAGCTGCAGCACTGGATAAGATGGAACAGGCCATCTGTGTGGTGCAGTACCCAGAGGGTCGCCGTGGAGAAGCAGGTCTGACCCTTCCTGAAGGGCAGGTTTATGTTGCTCACTCCTCCCCATAGCACAGTCTGACCCCTGTCAGGCACAGAGGACACTTCGGTAGGGCAGGCCTGAATGTGAAGTGTTTGATAACAAAGCTCCCCTTAGACTTTGGTCATCCAGCCTGGCCCCCATGCACAGGAGGGCCTTGAGAGCCCAGAAAATTTCCCTAATAGACAAGCCTCGAAAAGAAGAAAGAGCCTGCTGGGTCACTGGCAACCTTGGTGGAAGTGGGCAGTGTGTAGGAACTCCAGGCTGTGCGAGCACACTGCTCCCCAGGCAAAGCTGTACTGAGAGCTTGGTGCCCACTGGGGGTTCTGCACCGCACACAAGGCTAACAAAACAACCCCTTTTGTCTACTTCCCAAAGCAGAGAGCCTTATGAGAGGGTTCTGGGAAGCAAGGCAGGGACTCCTGAGTTCTCACAAATCTTTTAATAACAGTAAATGAAGAAAACACTGTAACAATAAATCCCATGGTGAGGGCTCCTATTCATTCAGTGATCTTCAACAACAGAAACACCTGAGACTAAGATTCAGAACGCTGAGTACACAAATTAAGGACCATTTATTTCCAAAGGTGACTGCAGAAATCATCAGTACAATCAAAAGGTTTTACAAAACAGAGAAAACACATTACAAAACACCCCAAGAGATGAGCAAAACTGTAGGAGGGGGGCACAGAGCACTCAGGAACCAGCCTGAAAAAGAGGTTCACCCTGCTGCTGATTAGAGGTGTTAGAAAGACTGGTTCTGAGGGGAGCCCCTGCGTGCTCATGGTGGGAGGAGGAGCGAGGGGTCAGCCCAGCACACAGCAATCCTAGTTTGGGAATAAGAAGAGTGGGGGCAGATAAGTGGGGCAGAGGCATTTGCCAATGTCCAGGCAGAAATAATTACACATCAGCCTATCCTCTTTTCTTCACTAGAATAACACCAAAATAACTGAAGAGGGATTTAAAACAGAACACAACATTGACATCAAAAAAGCAAGAATTTCCAAAAACACCTTTGCTTTGGAAATGTTTTTTTTTTTAGTTTTTTCCATGACTTTGTTTTGTTTTTCGTGAGTTTTTTGTCTGCTTAGTGCCTTGAGTAGCAAACCAGTATGCAAAAATGCCAAAGTTAAGGGCAACAGCAAGCGACTACATTTTCCTGAGCACATATGGGGTCACTCTATTTACACAGGAAGATGGATTGTTCCCTCTTGCTGAAAGTTCCCCTTGGAAACTCAAGGCTATGTGGCCACAATGATCCCAGGGCAAAGCTACACTAAGAGTCCAGCGGCCCTTTGGGGGTCTTCCAGGGCATGCAGGGCAGTGGCTAAGCAGCCTGAAGAGCCTGTGGAGATCCCTTACATGTGTCTGCTCCTGATAAACCAAAACCAACACCAGTATCTTGTCTTACAGTGTCATACATGGCCTTTGTTTCCCCCCCCACACACACACCATGTCTCCTTCACTAGAAATGGTGCTGGCTCAATGTCCTCAAGTCCCAGAAAGTCTTTTTGGTAGACAGAGGGAGAATGGGCCCGTGTACGGCCTCCTGAGTACCCTGCTTATGCCCAGGACCTGGGCTGGCCCACAGATCATGGAAACCTGCTGACACCATGTTATTTGTGGAACGCAGTGGTTACACATATGGAAACCTGGATGGAGGCTATAGCAAAAGGGATGATCTGACAGCTAGGCTGAGGTACTGCCCTGCTGAACCCAATGACCCTGAAAATGGATTTTCTGAATGGTAGCAGGTCCATAGAGAAAGAGAGCATGTTAACTCAGGGAGATGGAGTTTGAAGCCTTGGAATCTCCTGTGGTGCCCTCAGGCTAACAGAAGCATGTCACTGTGCCTCTGAGAGAAAATTGGGCCTGATCTTTTTTGGTGTCCAAAACCAAATACTGAGAGTGAGGAAGTGCTTAAATTACTCAGAGTGCCACCCAGCACCCTGATATTCAGGATGAATGCTGCAAGTTTGCCAGCTCAACAGACTGTTCTCATTGACTTAGACCCTTGATTATAGTGACCTGGGACTCGAGGGACCACTCCTTTCCCTTCCTGAGGCTTACTGAAAGACAGTCTTGCATACATGCATAGAGCTTACATACCGGGAAAATGGCAGATGGCAGTTGGGCTGGAGTGGTCAAGGAGTGGTCTGGGCACTAACAGGAAAGCTCTTAGGAAAAACTGAGAAGCCAGACCCCACTGGTCCTGAATGTGCAAACTGCAGCTTCTTCCTTGGTTCTGTACCAGGGCCAGTGGCAGGCTGGTGGCTGGAAAGATATGAGGGCCACCCACAAGGCAGGCCTCTAATGATTCTGACTAGATTACCTGTCACTATGGGGGCTTGGACAAGGTAAGAGAGACAGAACAATTCAGATGTCCACTCCTCCTCAAATCCCCAAATTCCTTGTGGAGCCCATGAAAGTGGCCTGCTACCTGTTCATTCAACCCGCACGTTTGTGAGCCAGATTGAGCCACTGTAACTTCGCTCCACTTTGCTCTTTCCCTGACAGGTGTATCTGTCTCTGGCCTGGACATACTGGGCTCATTCATGGCTTTCACTTTCATCTCTCCTTCCAAGCACCAGAAACTGCCTGCCAGAATGGAGTGCTGAGTGGTAGCCAGGGCAGAGGCAAGCTTTTGGAGGCATGCCAGTACAGGGAAAGCCCAAAATGACTGCAATCTGTGCTATGTCAGAGATAGGAAGAAAGTACGTACCTACAGTCACACCACTGTGGTATTCTGCAGCTGGTCCCCAAATGGAGGCATAGATCTGCCATGTTCTGTTAGTGGCCAGGCCAGGTCCCCAGGAGCTCTTCCCATGCCCTCTTTCCACCCTTAGTTTTTCTAGAGAGGCCAAGGGCCACAGAGCCCTTGCATATTTTCTCACCAGACTCCTACATGAAGCAGCTTTAAACACATGGTAGGCTGAATCCAATCACTCAAGAGGTGCTTCCACTAGAGGGAAACCGTAGCAGGAGAGGCTTGGCCCAGTTCTTAAAGAGGGCAAAAACCAAAGGTTACATGTTGCAAGGAGCTCAAGGATAGCAAGGGCATTAATGCCCTCCCCTCTGGCTATCTGTGCCCTCCTCCAAGTGACCCCCTTAATCCCAGCAGACCTCTGCCAAAGAACAGTCCCTCCCAGGGCTACTTCCTCAGGTCTCTGTGTACTTAAGACTTTCCCACATGTTGCTGCCTCCAAGAAGTGCTTTTGCTAAAGGCATGATCACTAAACCACTGAAGCTCAATCTGTGTCTAATAAGGCTACACATGAAATACTGGTACTGAATCAGGGCACAAGATTGTCTAGAGTGGTGGAGGGCAGAGGAGGCTCACTGGAGGAAGTCATAGAATGAGCATTTCTGTTTTGAAGCAAATCTGATCTAGTAGCAGGCAACTGAGAACCAGCAAACCTCTAGTTACAGCATCCCTTCTTGAGGTCCACACAGGACTGAGCACAAATCAGGTGCTTTCAATAAAAGCTAGCCCTTGTGCAGCACTTCAGTCTCCACCTGCAAGGACCCAATCCTTCAGCAGCTCCCTTTCAAACTAGACATGGGCTTTGCAGATAGGCAGCATGGGAAGCATGTGATGCCTGCCTACCGTGCTCCACAATTCACCATGGAGTCTGGCTGTACCAAAGAAACCTGGCTGGAAGGAAACAATGCTTGGCAGGAGCTGTGGTTTCCCAAACCAGGATGTGCTGTATGCTATAAACCCTAAAAATGGATCTCCAGGGACTTTCAGAAATGGGCCCTATTGCAAGATTTTTCCTAATTGAAACATCCAAAAACAATCAAAAACGTAAAGCAAAACAATGCCAAATTCCTTGAAGCTCATTTTTCCTTGAAGCTGCCTTAGAGAGGCAGAGACACAGACAAAGACAAAGGAAAGCATGCTAAAAGAGCACTGCAGATTAAAATGGGATCTATTATCAACATGAACAGGGAACATGGTTCCAATCACAGGTTTCTCAAGTTATCATTTTCACTGATTATTTCCTTAATCTGTACGCTCACTTCTCATGGGGATGTGGATCAGTTTTCAGCTCTCCTTGGCAATCTGCACAGGGTCCTGCTTGATACTCTGATTTTTACTCTATGCCCTTTGGATTCATCATTGCAACAGTTCCCCAACCCACTCAGAATCTGGCCTTTCAGCAGGGGTGGTGCTCTCATCTCCCACCAAGGCAGAATCCTGGAGGGAGCGGCTGGGTGGTTCCCTACTTTGAGTTATGCCACTAGTGGGAATAACGTGGCCCAGGGAAATCCCTTGACTCTGGTCTTGCTGCTGGTAGAGAACAAGGCCTAATGTCCCCTTACAGTGGGGGCTGTGCTGGAGACAAAAGGAGATCCCCACATGAACATGGAGGTCCCTGGCAGTGGAGAAATGAAACACAGCCCAGATTCATTGCTGTGACACAGGCAGAACTACTGTTTGTTGTTCCCTGTCTCCTCAACCAGCTGTTGTTAAAGCACCAACAAGCAGAGTAAGAGGCCTGCTGACTGCCGTCTCCCTAGATAAGGCCACTGGGAGGGGGAGACAGAGCCAAGGGAGGGAAGGAGGAAAGATCCTGCCCCAGCACCACACCCCAGGCACAATGAGACATCCAGGGGGAGGAACTGAGGAAGGAAGAGTGGTGGAAGAAGGGGATAGAAAGGAGGAAAAAAGAAACACAGCCAACATCTAGTGTCCTCTCCCATGATTTCATCAAGAACTGGGTGTTCTCCAAGTCAAGTCAGGACTTGCTTCCTTGGGGAGACAAAAAAAAGAAGCACCTTCAGTCTATTTTCTTGGCTGGAAGCCGTAGCAAATCTAGCAGATATTTACACAAGGGCCCAGCCATGTATGAGAACAGGATGACCAGCTTCCCGTGGGTCATTGTCATGAGAGTCTGGTGTCCCGAGGCCCAGACGCGATACCAGGGGCCGTAGAATGGGTCTGAGATGGCCGGACACAGCATGTTGTTCAAATTCACTTCGGTGACCTGCAGGGACAAGGGAGGCAGAGTGAGCATTCGCCATCCTTAGGCTTTCTGTGGCTGTTGCCAGTTTGGCCCTCTCTAGCTAATGGGAGAGTAGCCAAGGAGGGATTGACCAATCCCAGCCTGTTCATAAATAAAATCTCTGTTCTGGGTTTTTGGAGTGGATTGAGGCTAAAGCTCTCTGGAAGTAATGGAGTAGGAGGTCCAGTGGAAAAGCTGTCCACTTTTGCTTAGGGTCTGGGAGTCATTGCCATTCCTATCTACTTAATGCCTAATCCCTGGAGAGACATTATGAAATGAAAGAGCAGTTACTAGTGTTGTCCCTTAGCTGATAATCAATCAAATAGGGCGATCTGCATCTGATCTCAAACCAGACAGTGCCCACTGAGCACTGTCATGCCATGAAGAGGTCTGAGGGGCATGCTGGCTCAGGGCTGAGTCCCCAGAGATTTCATGAGGTCTAGGGCATCTGCACATATTCATGAAAGATGGATGGGGAGTTATGTCGAGTGAGTGGAGTCTTCCTTTTAGGAAGCACAGCCAAGCATGGAATGTATGATAACACAAGCACACAGGCCACTGGAATTCAGAGTATCACTGAGGACCAGTTGGTAAGGAAGGGTGCATAATACATCCTCCCACAAGCACAGGAAGCATTCACACTATTGGCCAGCCTAGCCCTGGCAAATTACAACGGAGGCATTCACCAGGCTGAGGAAGAAAAGGTAACATCTCTTCAAGGTGCTTGAGACATCAGTTGCACATCCTCATCATGTAAGGTCACTCAAGGCTCTGCATGGCTAGTATTCCATTAATGCTGCCAAAATAAAACCAGACATACCACTCCTGTCCAGAGGACATCCAAAACCCCTTTCCTACCAGAGCTCTTCAATCCTGCTCACACTGAATAGAAGTCCTCATCACCTCTCAGGGAAGATGGAGCTTTCAGATCATGTCATGAAGAGGTAGAGAATTCTCTGTCCTCAAGAGCAAGGCAACTCACTCAGGGCATTCAGTCAGGTGTTGAACTTTTGGTTTTCTGATCCCTCCTGAGCTCACTCCTGAGCTCTTCCTCCTCATACCACCACCCAGATACACTTGCAATATCAGCGATCGTGGGCTCTAAATAGCTCAACAACTGGATCCAACCATTTTCTATGCCCAGGTAGTTCTCTGCAGAAGGCTGTGAGGGTTCCTCAACACCATGCTTCCACTGGCCACACAACACAGGGCAGTGCCTGAAAAAGGACCGCAGGCCAGAATGGATCCAAGGTCAGAGGCCTATCCAGGCCCAGGGCCAAGGTTAAGGTTCTATCTCTCCATGTGGTCTTGAGCAAACTACTTTCCTAGTGTAGTTCAAGTGGGCAGCGGTGAAGGGTATCTTTGCCAACCCAGGAATGAAGACAACAGCTATTACTAAAGGGTTCAGAAAACTTTGGAGAGGCCAAGGCTGTAAATCATAAATCAGCAACCCAGACACATCAATTTGACGTTCTGGCCTTTAGCATCTTGTATTTTCAAAACAAAATGATACACCAGCACCAACCAGGATTATCAAGATTTATGGAGAACTCCAAACAGAGGAGATAGAAGGGGAGATCAACAACTCACCAGGCCGAGGATCTGCAGGATGCTGAAGTGATAAAAGAACATGAGGCCAGTTGAGAGAAGAGCCCACCGGAAATTGCAGAGGGGCTCTGGTGTGTAAGCACCTGAAGGAGGAGAGAACATGGTGAAAGGAGAAACAGTGCTCCACTTCTCTGCACACAAGGATGCACAAGCTGCCATCCCTGGTGCAGTCTGCTCATTACGACCTTGCAGCATCTCAGAGAGTCTCACTGGTTAACTGGGCACTCCTACCAGCTCCTTCTTCACCACACTCTTAGATGCTGCGGCCATTGCAATGACAGGACTGTTTTTAGTATCAAAGTAATACATTCGCAGCACTCAGGGAGGCTGACACAAGAGGATCGAAAGCTTGAGCCCAACCTGGGCCACATAGCAACTTAGGAAGACCCTGTCTCAAAATAAAAAAGGGAGGGGACCTAAGTAAGTGCAACAGTCCTGGTCTCAGTCTTCAGCACTGCAAAAAGAAATACATATACATACACACACACATACACACACAAAACTAACACATTCCCATTAAAGGTGATTTAGAATGTTTTTAAGGAGGAAAAAGGCACAAGAGCAAAAGAAAAATGTCTCTGGTAACCTACTACAGGAATACACTCACTGCTTACATAATGGGGTGTGTCTCATTGGTCATTTTGTCTATGTCTCAAGATTTTCTTTTCTAAATTAATACATGGAATCTCACTGCATATACAATTGTAAGTCTTCATTTATACATTTACTTTCTCATTGTTCTAAAGAAAAAAATCACTGAGAAGATATGGCATGGTGGTTTAAAATACTAATTTTGAAATTAGGTAGCTCTGGGTTCAAACTGTGAACCTTCCCTTCCCTTTGAAAGCCCTTCTGACTGTGGGTCTGTTCTGACTCTGCTCCCAGGTTTTTTAGTAGGCTCTATCCAGGTAACAAATCTGGCACTGACTGGCCATATGGCCTTGAAACTATTGATAAAACTTCTAAATCTCAGTTTGCTTGCCTGTGAAATGGGGTCAACAGTACCACCAGGGTATGGCACAGTACATGTTCAGTAAATTTTGGATGCTTTCCTTATCAACACTACAATTCAGAAAACGCAATAATGTGCCATAGCCAATGGCTGTACCATGTAACAACTACTGAAGAATAGGTTCACAGTTGATAGGACATTGCAAGTATCACTGTGAACGCATTCTGTACGGGACAGTGCTTGAGAACAAATAGGACCTGGATTGCTTTCTTCCCTACCTCCCAAACCCCAGTAAAGGAGAGATGACATCATATCCTAGAGTAGTATTTTCCCAGGTCAGTTTTTCACTGATTCATCCATTTATTCAACACTTTTTAGATTCCTTGTATATTCTAAGAAGACAAGTTCCCTCCGACTCACACTCACAGTCAACAATTACAACACAGTAAGACTAGGAGGATGACTAAGGTCTATACCACTCGTCATGGCAGGACAAGACTCAGTCTCAACAGGAGAGGTGGAGCAAGAAATGCTTCTTGGTAGAGGGAGAATTGGAGCAGCGTCCTCAAGAACAGACAGGATTTTGCAAGGAAACCAGACCCGCCAAAGCAGGAGCCTACAGAGACAGACATAAGCCATTTAACTTAGAGAACTACAGGTTCAGTGGGGCCTCGGGGAAGAATGTGATGGAGGTGGTGAGCAGGAGTAAGACTCAGAGGTATTCTCCAGGCTGAGTCATGTAGGCCGGGAAGAACCATGCAAGGGCTTTGGGTTTCACTCTAGGTGGAAGGGTCATGACCACAAATGCCTTTGACCTTGGGCAAGTAATGGGAAGCATTGCCATGACCAGGGTCTAAAAGATATAGGTGGTGTTAGCCACTGGTAAACCAGAAAACCTGCACCCTTTCTAAAGAGGGCAACTATTACTCTGCTGCACCAACCACTGCTCCACAGGGATGTGGGCCAAGAGGTGCAAGGTTTTTACACCTTTGCAAGAAACACTAGAAATATGAACTTTGGTGTGGCATTTTCTAATTTTAAATGCTGTTAACTAATTTAACATATTTTAAGAATTCTCAATAGATAAAAAAAGTCTTCTGCATGAATTTCAAGTCAGCGCTGCGCACTATTGTACAACCACCAAAGAACATGGGGAATTGAGGAAAGGAGTGTCCAGATCTCATGTGTGCTGGTAAGAAGACAACCTGGTCAGTGAGTGGGGCACACCTGGGAGCACGCTAAGTTGAGGCAACAAGACTGGCAAGTAGACTGCTGTGAGGACTCAAAGAGACAACAGGAGCTCGACAAGGAAGAGTGGAGGAAGAAATCACCAGGATACAGTAGAAGATTCACCACTGGGGGCTCAGGAAGAAGAAGACTCAAAGAACATTCGCAGGATCCTAGCTTGGACATCTCTGGATTGACGATAGCATTTATTGTGGTAGACAAAGGAGAAAAGGACAGGCACAGATGGAAGCAGAGGACAGGAAAACAACGAGGTCCATGTCAGACACACTGAAATTGAGATGTCTGTGGACATATATGTGGAAATATCCCCCTAAGGGCTGGATGTACTGTAGGACACAGTACAATGAATGCATGGGAGGGTCCTGGAACCCAGCAGGTTTTCAAATCCTGGCTCCCTGATTACCAATTTAAAGGTCTTGGGCAAATCTCAGTAACTCTTGATTTCAGTTTTCTTCATCTGAAAAACGGAATGGCACTGCCTAATTCACAAGTTTGCTGGATGAGATGAGATAATATGTCATAATTATAGTAACCATACATGGTTACTATACATACATAGGTTTAACCAATGCATATTATTATTATTATGCCACAGTCTCAGCAAGAAACAGAGGGTGAGCATTCAGATGTGGGTGGCATCTGCACACTGTGTGATAAGTGAAGTCCTGGAACCCATGCATACTCTGAGGAAGGCCAGAGGTGGACCACCATGTGAGAAGAGGGAGGAGATGGGGTGAATAAAGCCAAGGAGTCTACTGCAGAATCTGGCCTTGTTTTAGGAACAAGAGGCAGGCTCATGACACATCTGAGTCAGAAGGCCCTTGGCGGATGTGGAGCTCATACTTCCATTTTAGAGATGGAGAAACTGAGATTTGAAGATGGGCCGTGCCACAGCTAGAGTCATGACAGAATAGCATCAGAGAAACAGATTCTCATACACTGCTAAGAAACTCAATGCTCAGTGTTCCTGCACCTTCTTGTCTAGACTTTCAGCTTATTAAGTTGGACTGTTTCCTTGTCAGCCTCCCTCTACAGACCCAGCACTGTGAGGGAGGCTCTGTTTTTCCGTCTGTGTATTCCTAGCATCTGGCACAGAACCTGGTTTGTGAACATGAGTTGAATGACACACTTAGGTTGTATGCGCCTGCCTGTCTGCTGACTGTGCAAAGTGGGCATCGTGTTGTTACCCTGGATGCCGGGGACACACAAGGGAAGAGGGGTCTGGTAGGCTACTGGCGCACAGGTTGCTACACAGCTGGAGCCATGGGGTGTCCCTTCTCTCTGGCCTCTGCTCAGCTCCCTGTAGTGTCCCCTGGGCAGCAGTGCCGGGCCTCCTGTGCCAGGTGGTGGCTACAGGAAGACTGGGAACTGGGGTCCTCAGCCAGGGGACAGCTAGGGAGAGCTGGGTCTGGGGCTTGAGCTCCAGGCTCTCTTCCACTTACAGTGTTCCTCCTAGACTCGCTTCAGTCCCTGTCCCTGTCATGCTCTGTGGGAAAAGAACATTCAGATCCTAAAAGATGAGTGATCTTGCTACCCAAACCTGCAAATCTCCACTTTCACACCCTTGCTTCTATGTTACATCATCTGCCCCACATTACACTGGGAGTTACTGAGAGAGGGGCTGCTTCTAAATCCTTCCTTCACCTCCAATGCTTGGTGTACACTAGGCACTCAAAAAATAATCACTGTGTGGGTGCCTGAATGGCACAGGCTTTCCCGAGAACTGAGAAAGCATGACCCTTTGGCTCAATGCTATTTTGGGAAGCATCATCAAAAACTTCAAAAACTCAACAAACTGCCCTTATTTGCACAAATCTATTTACACCTTCACTATCTATTCTATTGAGAGACTGGAAACAAATCAAATGGGGCACTGAGTAAACTGGTATCTTAATGTTAACTTTCTTAACTTTCAGAAGAGTCCACTGTTCTTTGTATGCTAACTAAAACTATGTACCTATGTGGAGAACACAGTCTATGGCTAGTAACAGCAAGTGTGAAAGACAGAACATCAAGTGGTGCAGAGATGGTACAAAATATAACTTAGTAGGTTAATAACAAAGGTCTTGGGGTCAGACAGCTTTGGGTTGGGATTTGGATCTGCCACTATCTACAGGAATGATCTCGAGTAAATAATGCTGCCACTTCAAAACTATTTTCCCATTTAAGGATGATGATTAAAATAAAAGATTATATATATATATATATATGCAGCTGACCTAGTATAGGGCTGGCAGCTGCTTTTGACTGTGGTTTCTACTGCCCAGTTACTAGTGTTGATTCTTTCTGCTGCAAAGATTCAAGTTCAATTTCTTTGAAAAAGAAAAAAGAAAAAGCCTACCCTGAGCACAGATGATTCAGCCCACACATACACACATACACATACACATAAATTGTATGCAAACCCATATCATTCATTTTGTTGTATACCTGGAAGTAGCTGTTGGGAAAATTCCAGGAGAAAAAACCATTTTCTTCTAAAGGAAAACAGAAACTTCCAGAAAAATTAAAAACATAATTTTTTTCTGCTTTAGGAAAAATCTGTGACATTTTCTGCTAGCACCTTCTATCCCTAGAGGTTACAAGCACATCTGTAAAAGCACTCTAAAAGTAGGGGAAACCAAGAAAATGACTTTTTCTAAAATTGATTTCTACCAGAAGGAAGCTTTTGAGTTCTAAGAACAAAGTCACTTATACCAACGGCAGCAAAGACTGATCCCCAGAGGCTTCCTGGGGACTTTTCTGTCACCCTAAAATGCCAAGAAAGACAGACACTAGGGAGACAAGACTGGGCAGGGTATCACCCCACTATCCAACCTTGCTCCTGATTCCTTCCATTCATTCACTTGCTCATGCTGCCCACTCAGTCAGCATCTACTGATG